CAGCCATTATTAGTCTCAAAGTGGGTTCCTCATCACCAAATTAGAATGTTATTGTGCTAAAACGTGAACCTGACATTAACAAAAGAAAAATTAGGAAAGCTTTACAAATATACTTGCACAAACCCACAATAAAAAAAATACCCAGACACAACTAGTTTTTTATCATTATTTTTCTTGACGTTCCTAATCGTATTCAGACTTTTTGCATATCTTCCACGTGTTCAAATTCATCTACTGTTTTGTTTTTCTGTTCAGCCATGAATAAATCTGTTAATTCATGTGCACTGATATGCATTTGCATACTTAAGACTCAATTCTTGTAAGTTAAATACATCGATTGTTATATAGTTGAATGATGATTTATATTCACAAACCTTATATACTGTTAAAACATGTACTTGAGAATGATCAAAATGTCTTATCTGTTTAAAAAAACATCCTTCCTTACTGTAATTAGATTTTTTTTTATAGAAGGAAAACCCGAACAGCAGCAAGCTTTCATTTCATTTTATTTATCAATGCCACAGGTTAGTGACTTAAAAATAAAAAGTACATTGTAAAATGTTAGTATTTGGCACAAAGTTGAATCTACTGTTGATTAATATGTTTTCATGTTATGTACCATTAGTTTATTATTATATTTTTAGTATAGTAAGTATAACTGAGGTGAAATATGCTTTTAATTTAAATCTCACATTCCTAATGTTTGCTTCAATGGTGAACTTGGACATTGAGAACTAAGTTTTTCTATAAACCTTGAATCTTGCTGCAAATAGGTGTCTTAACAGCTGATATTTCTCTTTTAAACAAAAGAACCTGATGACTAACATTAGAAAATCTTCCTCATACACATTAGTAATGTAAGGGTTAAAACTTATCCTGTCATATAAAAAATATATGTAGGAAACAAAATGGTATTTCTGGTCAGTTTAACTCTGTACTTCAGTATTTAGATTTTAATAAAATGTATGCTGATGTATAGAACTACTTCCCTAAAGGCAGTTTGATTATTGCATTGTGTTAAATATGTTACTGGAGTAAATTTGCATGCATGTAATTATGACAGTTGCACCAAGTCTGGTGTAGAAGTGTTAGAGGTTTTATGAAAAATCTTTTCATTGTTATATGTAAATTTCAGTTCTTGTTAGCCCTAAAGATTAATTTAAAGGAAGGAATTTTGCACCATTTTTGTGTGAGAATGTTATTTTTGTATATTTCAAATGTAATCTGTAATGTTTGATAATGTTAAAAAGCTCCACTAGGTAAAGACAAGGTGAGCATTATCCATTTAGTTTAATGAAATTGTTAATAGTTTTGAAGAAGATTTGATTCACTATATCAACATTTAATAAATTCTTCAACAAAATTAAAGAGCACACAAAACTATTCAATTGCAATCAAATCTTGTCTAATTTGTAGAGGTATGATCTCTTACCTCCTGTCACTAAAAGCTCTCTCTAAACTTGCACATGTTAATCACTTCTCGATTGGCAATCCTACCAATAATAGGTGTTTTTTTCGTTTGCCATTTAATTAACCTATCCATACATTTTTACTTAAGTGAATTTCTACCTCATTTACTTTATTTTAAGTTTTCATTCCGTTTCTTGGAGAGTTAATATTTATTTTATTTTCTCTTCTCTTCTTTTACTGTGGTAGCAAAATTACTGACCACATCCAATTGTTACGTATCTGCTCGTTTGTTAATTTCTGGTATAAATTCTTTCGAGGAACTTCAGCTATACAAGTCCTTTCTTAATTAAAACTAGTTTATTCTTTCTCGATACAACTTTGTAATACACAGAATTTCCACAGTCAACACGTTTGCAATCTTGATATCAAAACGCACTTTATATTACGCAGCATGGTCTGTCCTGATGGTAAACTTGGCGCCATAGAGGTGAAGATGGAAATATGTCAGACTCTTTACACAGTAGTTTCTCTCTGGTCTACTCGGGACCCTACTGAAGTAGGCCACCACATGTTCATTTTCACCCACTTTCTGAGACGACACTCCTCCAATTCCGAAATTACCAGCATCACAATCCAGTGTGTACAGCAGTGAGGGATCTGGAAGCTTTAAAAGTGGAGATGAGGCCAATTTTTCTTTCAATGTATTTCGAACTTCTGGCCTTTTTTGTCAAATCATGTAGTGGAGCAGCTATAGTTGCAAAGTACTTCACAAACTTCCGGTAAT